TTTCCTCATTTATATAGTTGTTCTCGTTCTTATAATCCCACAATCGCTTCTGTGGTCCACTTTTATTATCCTATCAATTAGGATGTTAAATTCTTTAGAAGTTTTATTGATGGGGCGTTCATGAGTTTTCATCTCTTTTATCTCTGTTGAATGGAGTCAAGGTCAGTCAGTTGACAAAAGGAGGTGGTCTCTTTCTTCGATTTATATTTTCTTTTTTTTGGCGCAGCTCTTCCTTTGATTCTATGATTGAAGATCCTAGTATAGAACAGTTTGATCCTTTTGTGATGATTTGGAAAGCAAAACTGTCTCTCCAATTGTTGCTCAGATGCGACTTCTATACTATGTATTTATCTCATTGGGGGCCTTGTAATTGTTTTTTTGCCACTGTACTGTATTATGTGTGTAGGAAGTGAGATATTGTTGATCACATTTTCTAGTATGGTGCAGTTTTTTTTATCATTGCGGATAAGACAACATTCTTCGGTTGCAAAGAGGAAGAATCACCATAGTTGTCAAGACTAAGAATTGATCCTAGTTATGTGGTTTGATCATTGGAAATTGTTGATGTCAGTATGATGGCACTTTTCAGCGATGATGTTAGCGTGTATTACAGATTTTGAATTTTTTTTTCTGCTCCCGTGTTGTAATTTAATGATGAGATATTGCTCTGATACCAAGTTAAGTTGTTAATCTAAGGTTAGGGTTTAGTAGAGAGAGAAAGTTAAAAAAAAAAGAGAGGAGGGATTGAGAGAACTAATCTATGTGTAGGTTATAAAGCCCTACACTCTTAGTTATAGTAAACTGATTTTATGAAAATTGCAATATTACCCTGCACTACTAATAATATAAATAAGAACTCTTAACATAAACCTCAAATCTTCAAGACGCAAGCATAACTCTAGAAAACTCGAGAACTTGGAGGGTTAAGGAAGAAAGTCGAAACTTATGTGTGGCCTTGATATAATTCCTCTATGGACAGCTAGAGAAGAACTTGAAGGCCAAAACGTGCTAAGGAGAACAAGGGAATTTAAAAAATGGATAAAACTTGAAGGCTCTCATTGGTAACCATCACGCATTGTCTTTTGGCTTGGAGTCATTTGCCCATATTCGTTTATTTTGCTCAGACCAAAGCATCACACAAGCTAGTGAATTGGGGAATTGAAGATTTAGGGAAACAAGTGGTTAATGGGCATGCTAGTGATTGTAAAGGTGCCACGTGGTTTATGTTTTAGATTTATATGCATTTCTTTAATTGGTTCTTCCATTCATTGAAACACAAAATAATAATAAGTCAATTTAATAATTTTTTTTTAATTTTTTATGATCTCATATTGAAGTTTGGGTTTAGGTAGCCTTTTTTGGATCTTTTAACTTTGATATCATTCTTGTTTGTGGTAGATTTGAACAGAGTTGGTACAATTTTACGGATGTACAAAGTGAATTTAGATTATGATGTCTTTTGTGTTACTGATTTAAGACCTAAAGTAGGTTCTTTAACACGACAATATTAGGTCTACGAATGGAAATATATAGTAAAAATCAGTTAGATACCCTTATGTGAATGATTTTGGAGTTGAAACGTGCAAATACATTCGTTTCTAGGGGGTGTGAATTGAGGAACAAAATTCATGACTTTGGTTTCTGTTAGCATTATGTAGCGCCTGTTACATCCTGCATCTATTATATTGTTCCCGATCTCATTACTGAGGTTGTTACCTTTATTTAAAACTTTGTTGTTATTGGATCATAATTCCTCAATGTTTACTATTTTGTTTCTCGAAATTGTGACATTCTCACAAAAAAAACTCAACAATGGCAAGCTAAGCTAAGATAAAAGGCATGATTTTCAATTGAATCGATTAGTTGATATGGAAAACCCCACAAAATACCACAAAATAACTGAAGCTCACCAATCGAACTATAGTTTATAGACGATGAAATGGGTTTCCTCTCGAGTTTCTTCTTCTCGCTAGTTGGTATGCTAGTTTTTTTGGGGTGATAATGTGTAGATGAGGAAAGACAAACTATGCTCCAATGTTTGTCACTTTTGCTAAACACCCTTCAAGTAAGGTTTTGGGAAGTGTGAAATGATAATGGTGAAGGGTTGGAGATTTGAAGAACTCATCCATACATATGTTGTATAGGAAATATTAACTATTTGTCAACAATTCTTTTGCAAAAAGAGTGTTGGCTGTGGACCTTAGCCTCATGGAAAAATGGGTTGAGATTTGTCCAATAGATTAAAAGTATTTTGGGTTTTCTTGTTTCCTTTCTTTTAATTTTTTCTTCTCTCTAGGTCTAGGGATCATGTACCACTAACCAAAGAAAAAGTGAAAATAAACCCTCACATGATTACTACTTCAAACTTAATTCCTTCGTTTTTTACTAGATTGACTTAAAATCACTAGAGAACTGTATAATGATTGAATTGAAATGTAAATTAAATCATTTAAGATCTCAAAACCATATAATGTGACAATAAAATACACTATAAATCACTAAAAACATATATCTACATAATTTTGGAGTTAAAACATGCATAAATTCGTTTATGGGGAGGTGTAAATAGGAAATAAAAGTTCATTCCTCTAGTTTCTCTTACTATTATGTCCCGCTCGTTACGTCTTGTGACTGTTGTGATGTTATCATATCTGTTACGATGATCGTTACTATCATTCGAAACTATGATCCACAATCTTAATAGGTGTATGCTAGCATGGATACAACCTCTCGTGAATATTAGTCCCTCTCAGCCACTCTTGTGGGGAGAATACCACTATTAAGGAAGAAATTGTATGTTATGAACTTCTTCTTTTAATTGCCTATTTAGTCTGATGTTAGTGAGGTGGAGTAGCTGCATATTGAGGACAAGACTAATACCAGTGGCCCACCTAGTGCTTGTGTAGGCAAGGATAATTGGAAGACTTACTCTCGATGTCAAACATCATAGATTGCCATGTGCCACAAGTCACTTGCATTCCCCGATTTCGATTCTAGCATCTTTCATTGATTTATCACGTAATGAACTTTAGATTATTACTCTTGTCATAGATAATCCACTTGATGATTTTGAACTTCCAATTGCAGCCAAAAAAGGTGTTAGAGCTTGTATTTAACACCTTATTCGTAACTTTGTCTCTTATGATTCCTTATCTTCATTCTATTGTGCTTTGTTTCCTCGTAGTCTCTTACATATATTCTCTAGGGTTGGAAAGAAGTTTCCACTAATTCTTAGTGGAAAAATCTATTGGAGAGAAAATAAAAGTCCTATAGGAGAATAACACATGGGACCTGGTCTCTCTACCTATGGCAGCAAGAGCAGTTGGGTGCAAGTAGGTGTTCAATGTCAAGGAACAAGCTGATGGGATAATCGACAAGTACAAAGTTGGTCTGGTTGCTAATGCATTCACTTAGACTTATAGCATTGATTATCAGGAGGTTTTTACCTCATGGCGAGGGTGAACTCCATACACACTCTTCTCTTTTGTGTAGGTAATTTGAGTTGGAGTTTGTAGCAGTTGGATGTGTAGAATATCTTTCTTCAAAGAGATTTGAAGGAGGAGGTGTATATGAAGATCTTACTAGAGTGAAGGTGTGTAAGTTGAAAAACTCTCTGTATAATCCTGAAGTAGTCTCTTAAATCTTGGTTTGATTGGGCCCTCAAAGAATATCATACTATATTCATCGAACAGATTTATAATAAGATAATTGTTCTTATTTTGTATAGGATGACCTCGTAATAACTGTCAATGGTGTGTAGGAAGGCACCAAACGAAAAACTTAGATGGTTAAGGCGGTGTTGCTATTTATCCTACTATACCAACAAAGGGTGGCTAGCAAATTTGCAAGGAGATAGTGCGACTTTCTTTGTTCGCATGGTAGAGTGAGGGGCTCTATCCATTCGCCATTAGGGTTGGCTTATGGTGAAGATCTGCTCATATGTTGTATGAGGGGCGGCAAAAGGCAGCTTTGCTCATAAGTTAGTGGTTAAATGGAAAAGAATCTATTGGCTTCTTTTCTATGTCGTGCTGCGTTGCTCCTAGAAAAGATGTAACAAAGATTAGTGAGGGCATTGATAAATCTCTCTAATACTCGGGTAGATATTGCTTATGAGTGGGTATTGTCAATTAGTTTATGCAAGATTCTCAAACTCCTTATCTTAAAATTGTTTGTCGTACTTTGAGATATCTCCAATCAACTCTAGAAAAAGGGATTTTGTTCTTCGACCAGGGTTACTTGAAGCTAGAAGTAGTCACTGATGTAGAGTGGGCAGGTTCAGTGGGTGACATATGATATATTTTGGGCTACTGTACCTTGATAAAGGAGAGCTTTATCACGTGGTGAATCAAAAAGTAACTAGTGGTAGTTAGGTCTAGTGTAGAAGGTGAATGCTGAGCAATAACTCATGGAACTTGTGACCTTATGTGGCTCCAAATCTTATTAGGAGATCTAAAAATTTATAATGATGGACTTATGAGCAGTGACAATAAAGTTACTGTCAACATTGCTCATAACCTAGTTTAACATGACAGAATCAAGCATTTTGAGATTGATCGACACTTCATCAAGACAACGCTTATCAAGGGTTTGATTTGCATTCACTTTTGTGAAATTAGAAAATCAGTTTGCCCATTTTTTCATTAAGGGGCGTAGTAGCAAGATGTTTCACCCTAGTACTTCCTACTATTTTCTCTTCTTTTACTTCTTTCAATCTTTTTTTCTCAAATCCTACAACTTCACAATTTAACTTTCCTTGTTGTTTTATCTATCCTTGAAAAAGGAAGTAACTAAATGAATCATTGATCGGTATATAAAATTTCAGTGAATGTATAGAAAAATATTTCTGTTTTTTAGACATGCTTACATGATATACAATTTTACATTTTGAATTTTATTACAGTTGTTTCTTAAGGAACTTTGAGGTGACAATATGGGGTTAAAATTTTAATTATTTCTATCTCGTGGTCATTTTACACGATTGCTTTTATGACCAGGTAACAATGCCTAGAGATGCTTTACATCATGGAGGTGTTGAGCACCGAGAGTTGCATAATGCCTATGGTTACTACTTTCATATGGCTACAGCTGATGGGCTTGTAAAGCGAGGAGATGGGAAGAATAGGCCTTTTGTTTTGTCAAGAGCATTCTTTCCTGGAAGTCAAAGGTATGGAGCAGTTTGGACAGGAGATAACTCTGCAGACTGGGATCAACTCAAGGTTTCAGTGCCAATGGTTTTGACCCTTGGTTTGACTGGAGTATCATTTTCTGGTTAGTTAATACCTTTTGTTTAGGTTATCACTAGGAAGTTTAATTCTCATAAGCATAGTCATGGTAGATATACTTTGCAGGTGCGGATGTTGGTGGGTTTTTTGGCAATCCCGAGCCTGAGTTGTTAGTTCGTTGGTATCAACTTGGCGCTTACTACCCGTTCTTTAGGGGCCACGCCCATCATGACACCAAAAGACGAGAACCTTGGTTATTTGGGTAGGATATCCTCTTCTCTGCATATGAGATCTATTATTTAGTGATTGAGAATACTTTTATTATGCGACAGTGTGTAGGTTTGTATTTACCATTTTATAATGCAAATTCTTTCCCAAGGCAAATATATCTTTTTCTATATTATTTTATCTTGCAGCTTTATTTTACTTAATTGGGAGGTTTGGTACATTATTCAATTTGTATAATACACTTTATTTCTCAGAAAAGATGGTAATATATGGACCTCTATATGATACTTAAAATTTATTGCCATGTTGTGTTGTACAGGAGGGGAGGGTTATATAGGCATCCAACCTATAGGGTTAGAAGATAGTAGTTTTGTTTGACTTTTTGGAGCTAATGTTTTTCTCCTTTGAGGACTACTCCAGAGCTTTCAATGTTTTGAAACGTGAAAATTTGAAACTTGGACTCTATAATGGTGTCACTGAAACTAGTCTTGATGAGGAGTATAAATTCCTATCCCCGAGATTTCCATACAAAGTTGTTTTATTTTCCTGAAATGACCTTTGTCCTATAATCAAACTCTCTATAGGATCCTAGATTACAACATAAAATGATATAAACTAATCAAATTATGGGATGTCATGCATTGAGTATGGGTTTTTGACTTTCTTGTGGCAGGTCTGGGGGTGCTTTACTCATTTGGATGAGAGAGTGGTGAGAAATTTGGGGTCGGTTGGGGAATTTCCCAATTTCTATTACAGGAAACAAGGTGAATATGGTGGCTAACTGGGGTTTGTGGTCCTGATGTAGGATAGCAGTGGGCCTGAAAATTCAGCATTGTTCAAGGCTGAAAACAGTATTCGTCAACAGTATTTTGGGGCAGGAGGTGCTACTTTATGGGTTATGGTTCAATGGATTGTTTGGAAAAAGGAGTAGGGTTTTGTAGATCACTTTTATGATTTAAAAAATACAAATTCAGATCCGATGTTGATTTCTCCTCCTTCAAACATGATGTTGATTTTTTGGAATTACATTTCCTGTCATATGTTTGGAGGCAAAATACAACAATGATCCTTGAGTATGCGCTTTGTGTCACTTTTGTCTTCATTATCAAGTGTTATTTTACTCCTCAAGTTTTCAATTTGCTTCATTTTGGTTCAATACCGGTAGGTGTCGCTTGCGTCTTTGATGAACAAACAAGTGGTATTTGTTGGAACTTGAGTGACTGACCTGACACAAATTGCAGACTTGAGGGATCAAAGTGACACCAATTGCAAACTTGAGGGGCCAAAGTAAGCCCTCAAGTTTGATCAAGTAGGACGCACGTGATCATATCCATTGTGCAATTTAAACTGACGTTTTTGATTGGACAGTGACACAACTGAAAACTTAAAGGACTAAAGGACACAAGTGAAAGAATGATGACCAGAGTGACATAAAGTACATACTTGAAGGATTCTTACCGTATTTTACCCTACTTGTGGTGAATGCTTTATGAAGTGACTGAAATCAGTGTTACTTACTGTTACCAAATTGTCCTGTACATTAATTACCTACAGCTTCTTGTTGAAAAGATTAATCTCGAAATGGTTTTGTGTTCCGTTGCCACTGTTTAATATCATATTAAGTGATGGTGTGTTGATTGCAGGGAAAGGAATACAGAACTAATGAGGGAAGCCATACGCGTTCGTTACATGTTACTCCCATATTTCTACACCTTATTTCGAGAGGCAAACGTAAGTGGTGTGCCAGTTGTGCGCCCACTTTGGATGGAATTCCCAGCTGATGAAGCTACTTTCAGTAATGATGAGGCTTTTATGGTTGGAAACAGTATTTTGGTGCAAGGAATTTATACAGAGGTGCTGTTGCAGCCAGATGGTCGATTTGTCTTTGTTTGTTGTAATCAAATTTCTTCTGCTTTCTTTTTTTCACTTGTTACTTGCTTTGTCTCTTCGCTGTTTCTGTCACAAACTAAATGCATTAGCAATTTTCAAGCAGGGTGCCAAACATGTGTCAGTGTATCTCCCGGGGGACAAATTTGGTATGACTTGAAAACCGGAACCTCATATAAGGGAGAGATGACCCACAAACTGGTGGTCTCAGAAGAGAGTGTTCCTGCTTTTCAAAGAGCGGGAACCATCATACCAAGGAAAGACCGATTTCGCCGAAGCTCCACTCAGATGGAGAATGACCCTTACACTCTGGTATGTGTTCGATTCTCAAGTGCTTCCTTCTTGGCACATTCTCCAGCTTGCAACCCTGCTGGCCCCCCCTTTCAAATCATTTCCGCCCCCTTTTGCGTACTCGAGGAGGCCGTGTGGCTTCTGCAGGGACCTATTTAAGCCTTCGCCTGCTGCTCTCCTTTAAGTGAGCTAAAAAATCTTTCCATCCAATTGCAGAATTGATTGGAATCAGCTGATTGTTTTTAGGTTATTTTTGGGAAAAAATCTTCAACATTCGAATATGGTTTTGAATCTCACACGATACAAGAAACAGATACCATATGTTAGTCATATTTAATTGTCTACGTTACTTGGGCATCATGTCATAGAAGTTGATGAGTCATTTTTATGTACGAGGACTCATTTTGTGTCAAAAAAAGTAATTAAAAATAGAAACTAGATGAAACTAGAAGAAAAAGAATAAAAGAGCAAAAGAAAAATGCATTTCAAGAGTGTGAATCTGGTGAGATGTATTATTCATTACCAGTGATTAATACTGAAGATATCCATCACATGAACTGTTCTAAATTTGAAACACAACAATAACTATAGTCATTGTTATATCATATTGTTGCAGCACTTTGAAGCCTTGACGAAATGTAACTCATCCAGAAAGAAATTATTGTAGTATGAGATATACAAGTGAGAAAAACAGTAGATGAAGTTCAAAGAATAGTAACAATGAAGTGGTCCCGAAGTCGTTGAGTCAATTGTATGCTCTAGGTGACAAGGCAATGTTTTCTGATTAGGAAAAATGGAAGAAGGGTGTGGTATGTTGCAGACAGTTGTTTCATTCTTGGCATGTGATAAGTAGAGAGTTGATAAGTGTTTTAAAGATGGAAGTGGATAAAACATTTTTTTTTCCAGTAATTCAATCACAAAGGTAGAAGAGATTTGAAAAGAAGGAACTTAATTGGTGCAAAATTTTGTTCGCGTGAAGTTGTAGCTGTGAAAACCTGAATCTAATGCTTTTAGAAGCAAGGTTTCATTATTGGGAGGGTGGATTGCAATTAAAGGGTTTCTATTTCATCTCTGGCAATTGGAGGTCTTTAAGAAAATTGGGAATTGTTGCGGAGGTTTTGTAGAGGTTGAAAATGATACGACTAGTTGACGAAAATGGATTTTTAACTACTTCCCTTGACGTTAGCTATAATCGAAAAATCTACACTATTAAGGATTAGGGATTTTTCAATGATGGATAAATTTAGAAGATGGAGCTGGAACAGGATTGATGGAGATGGTAGCATGAAACCTCCATACCATAGGTGTGAGATTGCAGATGACTGCATAGGGTTGGGGGGAGTACGTGACGAAGAAAGAAGGGAGGTTGTATAGAAATTAAATTTACCCAATCACATAGTTACTTTAAATGGGCTGGTTTGTATGCCTTTTAATGATGTAGTTTAGGAGAATAATTTGCTACAAAATCGAGATTTTGGGATGAATAGAAAAGATTTGAATTTAAAAAATGGAGTTAATTTGGGAAGAAAACAATTAAAGTTGTAAATGATACATAACAGGATAACAAAAGTGGGCACAAGATGTTGGGTTGGAAGGAGGTGGTCTATAAGAATAAGGCTCAATGTATAGAGGAAGGAAATACAAGGGGAAAGAGGCCTATGGTGTAGCCCGTATATATTGGGCTTGTACCAAAACCTAAGCTGCAAAATTTTTTTGGTACATTAAAATGGATATGCAGATAGGGCATTCCACATATCCGCTAGAAAGTATTGGCCCCAGCACCACACATTTATGGGTGGGGGACTCCATCGCACCTACGTTGGGGTCGAAGCTAAAGTCCCATCGCGTGCTCTTTGTGCTGAAGAGTAGGTTTAACCCTAACAAGTTGTCGTAGTTATGGAGACTCGAACCTAAGTATTGAATGAGGAAATTCGAGTTCTTACCCACTGGGCCAATAGTTTGTTGGTTAATTTGGGCTTTTAAGTCCAAAACCAAGTTTACCACTAAAAGGAAAAGTCAGAGTGACCCATCCTTTTAGTCAAAAAGACGGATGGGATGTATAAGGGGAAGACATTGTCTCACGCTAGGACAAAACACCAACAGGGTGTTTCAAGGGAATTCAGTAGCAATCGTAAGTGGATCCAAGAGAAACAGGAGATGCAAGATGAATGGAGATGATGAGTTAAGTTATTCTGCAGCTGGTGAATCAGCTGCGAGAGTGCAAAATACATGAGATGACTTCGATAGTGTTTGATTTTTACAAAAATGAAGGGGTATGAGCGTTTGTTGGTGGAGATTGACGAGGGAATGTTTGATACCATCCCCCGACATATCCTATACCGAAGACTCGAAAAGTTTATTACGCCGAACAAATGTACACAAATTTGCATTAGGGACCATATTTGTAGCATTACTTACCTCACTTAGACTTGTAGAATTGATGGCTTCACTGCTCGTATAATTCCCATGATTCCTTTCCACATTTCAGAAAACTCTTCAACATCACTTTGAAACAGCAGACCCATTCTATCGCATACTTCCTCACAACTTGGTTCTTCCTTTTCTCGCTTCGATTACAAACAAGTCTAACGAGCTTCTTTCAAACCTAGAGTTCTTAGAAAAATCTCCACAATTTCATCTTGTCTCTTCATGTCATCTGCTGGGACTATTTTTTTTTGGGGGGTTGAGAGAGTGGAGGGTGGAAAAAGTGTGGGGCAGTTCTTAGTGAGG